TTTTTTTTTTTTTTTTTTAATAAAGAAAAGGGTCTTCCGACTGAGCACGTTGACTGACTTAACTATGGATAGCTTCTCATCTTGATGGAGTTCCCTGTTAGTATATGCTCCTTCACTCAATAGTCAATACCAATACTTGTATTTAATAGTGGATGACATTCCAAAAGGTGTAATAAATTATGCGGGTTTTCTTGGCCTGTATATTTTGACATGGATAAGTGCAAAATCAGTAGAGCTAGAGCTGGACTTAAAGCAACAGAAAGCTGCTGCTGTAACAGTTTTTGTGGAACCTAAGTGTTGAAGGCAGCAAAGCAACTGGAAAGAAGTGTGAGCTATGGCCATATGTGCCATAGGAGCTCAAGGGGCATATTTCAACATCTTGTATACTAACAGAAGTAGGCAGTATAGACCTCTGTATAATGCTTTGCCCTCCCATCAAATCTTTGCCAATTCCTCCAAGAGCAGTCAATACTACATGTTTGATAATCAAAAGACAACAATTTCACAATTATACTCTCCCTAGCAAAATCCTGGAACTATGCTCGTGCCACTAAACTAGCCAAACTAACTTGTACCCTAATAGTGATATTCACCGATACTTAATTCATTAATAATTTTGCAAACCCTTTCTTCATCATCAGCTAAAATCACGTATATGCGCTACTGCAGCAGCAATTTCAGCTTCAAACAATAATCAACAATGGTTGAATACCGCCTCAACTAAAAACAAAATTTCTTGTACCTATCATTATCTATAGCTAGTTAATCTAGTTCGTTAGCAGCCTCAATATTATCACTTCATTTAATCATGAGTTACTATTTTGATTTTACCTGGGTTTTTTTTTTTTATTTTGATTTTTCCTGGGTTTTTTTTTTTTTTTGCTACAATTTCCAAATTCTCATTTCATGATCATATATTTCAATTGTATGAATTTCTTCAATGAGATACGACGAATGCTATTCCTCCAGCTGATTTTGAATTTTTACTTATTTAAGTTTAGCATCGAGTCGAACCTGAAAGAATTTCCAGGTTGCCAGTGGCCAATGCAATATGTCAAAAACAAAGTTATTGCGAGCCTCTTCACATATGGAACAAGTTATTATATCATAACTTCGCCTTAGAAATCATGCTTGAGTTAGCTTGTAGACCACTGTTTTGCCTCCCACATCACAGGGGCAAGTGCATGGATAGCCGATTTTGAGACCCTCATTTAAGGCAATAGCCGAAATTTAGAAATTTTTGTAAGTTTAACTACTTCAGAATCACTTCAGACATACGCGATTAAAGTTGCAAAATTTTCGCCTGTGAAGTTTGGCATATTGCTTATGCAAGCAAACTTCAAACATTTTTATCTGAACTTTAGAAATACGCAAGGCAAATCTCATACATTTATGCCTAATTTCATACCTAAAAGTTACTACTTAAATATTAGACATATTATCAAACACATTCCAAAGACAAACTTCAGACACTTATTCGTGAAGTTTGCCAAGAATATGGAAGAATCTTTTTTATTACCGACACCTTAAATTTAAAAAGCAACTCCCGAACCTAATTCTTAAGATCACATACCTGTCGCATAAAAAGAAAATGCATAGATGCATATATAGGTGGAATCTCCAATGGAGCAGACATCAATAAACTGGAAGAAAGAAATCGATTTCATCGAAGAAAGATATGAATAAATCAATTTCATGGAAGCAAGATATTATGAAGGGATTTTTTAAGTGTAGGTGTACAGAATTTTTATTGACGAGGGAATGATGGGACTCCCCTTATTAACTTCTGTTGATGCGGGGATGATGGGGATATTTGTAATTCCACCCATTGTGGGTGGTTTTTCCTTTTTTTTCTTTTGAAAGCCAAGTTTCATGTATTCAGTAAAAAAAACACAGTGAGAATCTCAACCCAAAACAGAAAATATAAAGTCCAACGTTGAGAAGAAACAATCATGTATGTGCAGCACGTGTGAGTTCGACCCTGCCAAGTATGTGGTGACATTGAAAACGACTGGAGATGAAAGGAGTGCTACAGTCAAACAACTGTCTTCCTTACCAAAGAAATTCACAAATAACAGATACTACAAAGAGGAGAAAAAGAAGAAGATAAAGAGGAAGTTGTGTCTGAAGTTTACCAACGCATGCTACAGGTGATATAGCTTAATTAACATGATGAAAACTACACATCCCATTAAAAGTTTTACCACATCATAAGAGTTTACTCCAGAATAGTCTATGCAATACTCCTCTAATTGAGCTTGGGCTTCTATAGCATAGATATCCGATGGTTCTATAAAGCCACTTTTGAAAGGGACCACTCTTTCAAAATTAGTTCGGATGGGTGTGTATATCAGAATAATATTTAAGAAACGGCTACTATATTATACAGGCTCCAAACAGGAAGATGACCCAATTTATGCGAAGTTACATGAACCAATCCTAGAAGGCAAAGCTAGCTTGAATCTATCAAAGCTTAGCCATTATACCACCGTCGTGACAAGACTTAGTCACTACCCCGTTTTCCTTAATATCCGAGTCAGCTGTGCTGGGAGGAACATCAACAGCTGGGGAGCAATTGAAGAACCCATGAGGCTGCATCATGAACAACATTAATCTACATTAGTGACGTGAAGCTAGGATCTAAGAAGACTCATTGCAGTTTTAACAAATGATGGATATATCCTCGAAAGAAACAGATTGCTTCAAAAAGAAAAGAACTTGAGGCAGAGCCAACCAAACAAATCCAAAAGCAAGTATATAAGTTCAATAAATCTTCTACCAACACAAACTCAAGGACAGATTCAGGGACAAATGTCTTGGTCAGTGCTTGCGATGATGTTCCCGAGAAACACTCTCCAACCATTCCCAGTCCAAATTCATAATGAAAAAGTAAATGGGACAAGAATTAGATAAAACTAAACACTTGTGAAAGGAAAGTTTAAATGGGAACACAGTCCATCAGTCGTTTCAGATGCTGACCAGTCAAATGCGATTTATATTGTATGTCAGATGACATTGCCAATCAAGAAAGAAAAATGTCATAGCCCAATATTATTGTACCTGGNCACCCCCCCGGTGGCCCAAAACCCATTTTTGTGCATGTTAACAGCATATTTTTCAGTGGTTCCTCTTTTGCAAGTCTTGTCATTGTGAAGTTCTTTCTTCAGATGATAGCCATTGAAATTACAAATGTGACACATGAGAATGGCCAAAACACAGGATAAAATATGTATTTATGCAGTTTATCATATCAACTAGCATACTTTTAGTTGCCATAAGATCTTTAATCTGTATCAAGGAGGATGGACTAACCAAAGAACTATCTGTGTTTCTTCCAGGGATCGATTCTGCTTAACCCAAGTAGCCAATCCCTCACCAACACGAGGATTTTGATTAGGAAATTCTCCTCCAGGAAACATCTCATCACCAGAGTAAGGGGTGACCCAAAGATTATGCTTTAAGAAAGCAGCTCTTCTCAAGAATTTTGCCTCTGATCCAGCTAGTGGCAGACAGTTTGTACCTGGTACTAGCTTGTAACCAGTTAACTGCCCCGTGCGATTGACTGTTCTTGTATTCCGGATCTAAATATTGAAACGGAATATGGTTCAACCATCATTTCCAAAAAGGAGGCAAAACTACTGCCCAAAACACACCACACGTATACAAATACAGAAGACAATGACAAATAACTTAAATTAGACAGACGATGATTTTTTTTGGTAACAGACAAACGATGATTCTTAAGGTACAGATGATAGAAAAGTAAAATACCACTAGAAAACATGTGCTGACTTCACAACTACCATAACAAATTAGATAAACATTAACTGTGGCAGATTTGCAAAATGTATAACTATGTGCCATTATCTATAGATTGCAGTATTCTATGTAAACAGAATAGACAAGTTACAGCCTCCGCCTTCAGCTTTTGCTAGAAGGATGAAGGAATACAATACATGAAACAAAAATTTCATACCATAACATTGTTTAGGCAGAGAATAGGAGCTTCAGCATTTATGTAAAAGCATTACATAATCCTTTTAAGCTTGAGTTTATCCTTTGAAAGAAAAGCCTCTGCAGGAGAGAAGGAAACTTACAATCCAATGGCGAGCAGTTAGAGGATTACAATCACGCATTGCTTCCAATTCAGTTCTAAGCAATCTCTCTGCAGCATAAAACGCATTATTGTGAACATTATTTTCTCCTGGTGGCTCAACTCTTGCATTTACTTCAACCACCTAATTATAAGAAACCTTACTATCAGATGTCACTTGTAGGTCAATGTCAAAATGAAAGAAGAATATAAGAGAAAGGTGCAAGATATGTATGTGCCTGTAGACAAGAAGTGAAACATTAGAGATGTATACATCGATTTAAAATTAGGCAAATCACATTCTTTTGAGAATGAATTAGGCATATCACATTCTCTGGTCTTTTTTAAATGAAATTTTAGTTCATTCACCGATATGAGGGTGTATAAGGAGGATATTATTTTGTCCACAGCAATGAAATTCAGAGTATTATTACTTCGGAAAATTATATTCAAAAGTAAAATCAGTATCCCGTACATAAATCCTGTTCCCAGTCATCAATATTTATTTTTGATAACCGTGGTGTCTAGGCCAGCTTAGACGCACCTCGACTAATTCCACCGGATACCTGCTACCTCCCACCAACAACAGTGTGCTTGTTCCCCCTTACCCTGGCAAGTCTTTGTGAAATTNGAGCGATTCATCCTTCCCGAACGCAGCATACAACTCTCCGTTGTACTGCGCTCTCCAAGTGTGCTTGTTCCCCCCTTCTTCCTTACCCTGGCAAGTCTTTGTGAAATAACTCCGATGAGAAGAAAAAAGAAGGCGTTAAGAGACCCTCCTGGCCCAACCCTAGACACTCTAAGATCCTTTTTCAAACCTGCTCCCATGACCACCGTCCACCAAGGCTTGGACAGATGGGAAGAAATCACCTAGTGTTTTTGTCTCCGCTAAGAATTGAACCTGAGGCCTCATGGTTCTCACCCCACTTCATTAACTACTAGGCCACACCCTTGGGTGCTTCCCAGTCATCAACATTTGAAATGGTTCAAATGGTTCAAGTGGTACGTCAATCTCTGTTGTAGGAGCACCAGCCAAACAGTTTCACTCTTCCAGTCCAACAAAATTTGGATGTTCCAAGAATTTTTCCAATTTTAGCAGGTGTCTAACAACAAGAAACAGATAGCTATGAAACAAACAAAGTTTTTAGCAAGAAAGAGATGAATTGAAAATGAAATCTAAGTTGAAGCAATGCAAGACATTTGCGCCCATAAAACCAGAAAGGTCCGATGCCTTCCAAAATGGTACAGAGTTCTTAGAAATGTTATAGGAATTGAATAATAGAGGTGTGGGGAAGCAATCAGAAAGATCTGGAAGGAGAAAAGGCATTTGAGAAAAACAAAAGAAAATCTTTAAGGTTATACATGCCCCCACGGCACCAAATTCTCCCTTCCCTTCAAAAATAAAGAAGTAAAAGCCACAAAAAAGAAAGCCAAGTTGGGGAGGATTCCCAAGGGCTTGTGGGAAGATCAATCATCAATGCAAGGGTGTACTAGTAACCATAAGTCAAGATCACTTGCATCAAAGGACATACCTGATTATGTGCTTCCCCTGGTTTGCAATCAACAGCCATATCCATGCGAGCCACAAAGAAGTGCTGATGTACAGGTGCATACAAGCCAGGTGCAATAGTTGTCCCATATTTTCGAACTTCCCCAGGTAGAAGGGCACCTAAGCTGAGAATTCCAGTCAGCTTAACTTCAGCCTCGATTTTCCCATCCTGTGGTGAGAAATAGGAGATTCATGTTTTAATATTCAAATCTCAAAATCAACATGGACACTAGATCCACATTTTCTCCTTTTTTACCGGGTCAAAAAGGAACTATGGGCTTCTAATGTGATTTAAAGCGGCATCCCCCCTTATTGAAGTAATGAGTGTGCAGTTTAAAAACATGGAAACGCATGCCCAAATGATAAAGAGATAATGCTACAAATGACGCACTGCCAGCTGAACTTAGTTAAAACAAGTAAATCACATTGGGAAGATATAATGCAACCAATGAACCAACAAGTTAACTCTTACTTAGAAAGGGTAGCCAACCTGATAAAAGTGCCAGTAAAATCCATATTCATAGTTTGCGACAGTACAGATGAAAGACACTGTTAGCCGTCGCGAACGTCGTACTTCAGCTAAACCTGTTCTCCAATCTTGATGCTTCCATAAGATTCCATGATCCTCCTCATGTAGGCAGACACAATTTTCGATTGTCTCAACACCACCTGTGAAGTTTGTAAAATGCGCATCGAAATACTTAATATAGCCTAAGCAATCACAACCCTGCAATCAAAGAAAACATTCGCATGTGATCCCGAAGTTCATCTCACTGAATATAATGAATTGAAAATGAATTGTACAATGCCAATGACATATTTCCTGACCTTCTTTAAGGAATGTGCATTTTTACCAAGCCCATCTTCCCCTGCATCAAAAGCATTTTTCCTGTAATGTGGCTCATTTGGATCCCCATAGGGGACTACCATTTCAATGAAGCTCAGCCTATGCGCAACAGGTCTACGGCCTCTGCTACCATCAACATATGCAACAGAATAGATAACCAGACCCTCCCTGGGGGTAAAACCAATACGAAAGTTCCACTGCATAGGATTATATTGGTTCTCGAAGTAATTAAATCATCCACAGAAATACAGAAAAAATGATATATCATGCTCTGTAAAAAAGTACCTTCTGCCATTCAACAAAGTGCCCACTGACACGGAAGCTAGGACCTTCAGGCTGACTTATAAGAAGAGGTTTAACATCACTTCTGTCAACCCCTCCTCTCGTTTCACCAGGAGTGTAATTTCTCAATGGATCAGCTGGTGGTAACGGAACCACTTTACGATCTTCAAACTCTATCACAACCATATTCTGCATATCAACCAGTATATGAATTCCTTCAACTGGTCGAGCATAGCCATTTTCCATTGGACAGTCGCTTTCAGTTCTGCAAAAGATTAGAGGTTTTCCTAGACGGCGGTTAGGTGCATCAGCCTCGCTGAAGTAACCTGCACACCTGAATGACTAGGAGTGTTATAATATATATGTCAAACTATAGAAAATGCAACGCATACTAGGAGATCTCATGCATGTTGTTTACAGAAAAAGGTAAAGAACAGAGAGACCAACCAGGCATCAACCATCACAAGTTCCATATCATCGATTCCTCTCTTCTTCATTGCATCACGAAAAGGAGGGAAATCCTTCACAACAGCTTCACATTCAGCATATTCAGCAGCGTCCTACAATCCAATTTACATATGATAGTTCTCTTTTGGGTGCAACAAGAAAACATGGATCTCATTATCACTAGATTTCTTCCATTTGGAGAAAAGGTCACAAGTTCCTATAGAAACTAGTGCAGTCATTCGTTCTGTGGCAAGCAAGTCACTAGTAAACATGAGCACAGAAGTATTCCAAGTATTAAAATAGCTTTCTTATGGCTTTTGATAAACAATATGTGGAAAAGTTAATCAAAACACAGACAATATAACCTAGCAGCAATGCTTAAAACTTTCAGCATGATATTCGACTTATAAGTTTATCAGAGGCACCTACCATTGGAGGCTGTATATCAGGCACAACCTTAGATGAAATGACTTTGCCGCGGTGGTGGCCTCCTCGAGTCACAGCATGAACCTCCGAGAGCTCAACAATCCATATGCTGGTCTCATTTGATTTCTTATTATAAACAATTAGTCTAGCCTTCCTTGGAGGAAGTTTACTAGGAATTACAGGCCCACCTTTCGTTCTCGGCAACAAAGATGGTTGGAAAGGAGGGAAGAAGTATGCATCAGCTAAAGCAATCACACTCTTGTCTGGTTCCACCAAAACAGCCTCGACAAAGCGCATGCTATCTCTCACCTAAACATCGAAGGTAAGTGTTAATTGAATATTGATGATTGGAGAGGCAGAAACAAAAACATCTATATTAATAAAGCAAATAATGACCTCAGGAGTACTGCCAGCTGCCCTGACAGTTGCAACAGCCACGGCAATTTCAGCAGCAGTTAGGGGGTCCAAGGGATGGTGACTTTGAGCCCTCAATAAGGTAGGCAGTCCTGTAAAATTCAGATTATAGCAATTTTCATAAATGAGCCAACAAATTTTCTCAACATTCCTTACACGCAGGCTCTTGATATAACCTTGTCATGCCAAGTTGATTACTAAATAGTCCAAATATCTACAATGCATTCCAGCCAAGCCTTGGATTATTTGAAAAGTCTCAAGTCTCGAGCTCTGCAATTATATTATCAAAAATTTGTTCTGTATATTCTTTGGTGCTTACAGCTTACTGCTGAAGTTGTGAATGATTTAAGAAAACTTGAAAAGGCTTACAACACACTCCACTGCGAAATATAAGAGTAATTCATATGCATAAGCCAGAGTAGCCTAAGATTTTTAGGCATTTGCGCCGGAGAAGTTTTCCTGGAAAAATGGAAATAATATTTGGAGGGAGGTAGCAGGGAACTAATCGAGGTGCGTACAAGCTGGCCCGAACTCCACGGTTATCAAAACAAAAAAGTAAATAAATACTCCGTAATAATATTTGGAGAAACAAAATGTCTTGAGACACTTTGTGAACCAAGAAGAAAAGTCATCATCCAGGCGCAGAGCACTCAAAAAACTCTTGAGAATACACAATTCTTTTTTCTAAAAGATTATCACATACTCACTTTTTTCAAAAATTGCCCAAACGAAAAGAAAAATGGAAAATGAATAATTTCAAGCAACTTCAAAACAAGCAAAAAATCATGTAACTCGTGTAAAGATTGAAAAGTAACAACCACTGAGATAAAAGGGAAGACAGAGAGTGGAGTCTATCCCCTGGCCAGGGAACAGAGCACAAGAGTGAGATTTGTGCTTCAAGTAGATTCCCAAATGATACTTAAAAAAAAAAAGCGATAAAAGTCACGATTTTTCACTTTTATTTTTCGTTACCTCCAAATTTACTGTACATGTGAATCGGTGATCAAGACAATAAGGTGAAGGATGTAAGTTTTATATGCTAAAGAAAACGTAAAAGGTTAAAACAACTAAAATAAGGCTCCGTATAAAGAATAAAAAATTAGCTTAAAATGTCATACGTATGTATTTCATATGTTTTGATGATTTTCAGAAGCACCGACAAGGAAAAACCAGCAGGCACCTACAAAAAGCAAAAAGGCTATACGATCCACAATCGCACGAACGCAGAGCATGACGTATCACCTTTTGCATGTGTGGCACAGAGCAATAAATTAGTCAAATCATGAAAACCAATACCTTTAACGGCAGGAGCATTTGGCAGAGAAGGACGATCAATGGAGTCGATCACAGCAACAGCAGCAGTGGCAGTGGTTTTGGCGTTGGCCGCTGATCTGGTGGTAGAGGAACGATCGGAAATTTCAGCTACGGTTCCGGCGGCAGTCCATTCCGGCGAAAACTGAGCGGCTGAAGCATTTCGTGAAGGGGAAGAAGCCGTCGCCTTTTCCTGAGTTGAGGCCATTGCAATGGATTCGCGAGTTCACTGTAACCGCCGTAATACTTGTCACTGTAATAGTAGTAGTAGTCGTCTGACATACAGCACTTACAATTCTGCCGCTCCGAATCCACAATTCCACCGCCTCCGATTCCCAAAACTCAACTGATTTTTCCCTCTGCTTCTGCTTTTTCTCTCTCTCTTTGTGGAAAGTTCTAGAGTTTTAATGGAGAAATAGGAACGGAGCAATGAAGAAGACGAAAAAACGTGAGTGGAGGNGTGGGGGTATTAATGGATACGCATACCTCTATTACTAGAACAGCCGAAAAGGGAAGTGTTATAATCCAGCTCATCCTTGTTCTGGCTCTGTTTAGTTGAAGGATCAACAAGTAATTGTTTGGTACATTATGCTCTCTTTAATTTTTTCCAAAATAAACATGCACTTTTAAATTTAAAAATAATTCAACTTTAAATTATTTATTTTACTTATTTTATTATTAATAAAAAAAATTTATAAATACACAAATATCATGGTCCGATAAAACTTTTACCACTTAAGCTTTTAAGATGATAATTTTTAAAAGTCTTCTTCTTTTTCTTAAACTCCGTATCTAGTCAAACTACCTCATCTAAATTAAAACGGAGGGAGTAATATTTTTTTCTTATTTTAATCCTGCAAGGGATCTCTATTTTATGTGGGATTAAATTTTTTATTTAAATTGTTAAAGGTTATGTTGTTATTATTCTATATTGCTGTAATAAACAATTAAACTTTCTGAAAAAATAAAACAAAATGTTAGTAATACTTGTTTAACGAAATAGATTCTGAAAAAAAAACAGTATAGGAATAAATCGACCCCACTGAATACACAGTATGTCCTTAAGGAAATTATTCCCCTCAAGTACCCGAGGTGCTGGAATATATCCTCCTAGGATAGAATGATTTAACTCACCAGTGTATTGGTACCAAAACTCTGATGAACTGTGAACTACTCAATGGTCGTAAAATATACTGAAAAATATTGTGCAGAAGAAAAAGAAGCTCAGAAAAATTCGTAAGGAAAGATTCTGGGATTCAAACTCTATTTATAGAGTTGCTGGCATTGTTTCTGAAAAGATTTGCAACCTTTCAGAAACAGTCATGGCTGTTGGAAAAGAGGTGTTTGGAAATATTACGGGAAAAAATATATTTAAAATAATTCGGAAAAGAAAACGGGCCTGACCGAACCCGGTCACAGGTCATGGGTTATTCCGGATTGAATTTTTTGTTAATTATTTAATTAATTAATTAATTAATTAATTGAAAGAAATTTTGTCCAAAAAGATTAATCAATCAATCGATCTTTGACCAAATATCCAAATCCAAAGCCAAATCCAAATCCGAAGCCGAGCGACGACGACGACGGCGCGAGGCTTGCCTTTTTTCTTAACTCTTTAAGAGTTAGAAGAAGAGCAATTATATATATACTCATCAAAAGTCTTTTCTTTCTCCGATATGGGATAATATCCCTTTCCCAAGGGAAACTCAAATATTTTATTTTCCCTCCATTTCTCATTTCCCTTCTTTAAGTTACACAAGCTTAAAATCCCAACAATCCCCCACATGAATGGGGAATGGCTATAAAATAAAGGAATGCACGGACGCGTGTGTGTTTTACATGCAAGAATTAATTGCATCTGGATAAGTAGGTTTCCCTTTGAACTTTCCGTAGTGAACTTATATCGGATATACTCGGTCAATCGGTAGATTTGATATCTTTGAACCGTCGAGCTTTGTTGTATACCTAGACAACATAAGTCACACAATCAATCCTTAACCATCTATGGTTCTCACGGTTGTGTTCGTTTCAGCCATGAACACTGCCTGGTTTTATGAGTGCTTAGAGAATGGGCCTTTACTTTCATTCCCCTTGAACCGGCTTACACTTCACACTCACATAGGTGATTTCTAAACGTGTAATCCTATAGACACACTATCTGGTCATTTCCTACCAGACTTAGCAAATCATTAAAAAAACCTTTAAGCTTTGTTGACTCATCAAAAATCCTTAATGCTTTACCTCGATTTCTGAACATTGTCTTCATCACGAGAATGGGTTGAGTTATTTGACAATGTTGAACCGTCATTCATAACTTTGTTTGATCTCTTCGAACCTAGCTCGTGGGATCTCCAGTCTGCTAGGTAGAGTTACCATCATGATGACTTGTCCTAGACCGTAACCCCATTCCCTTTGATGATCTTTCAACTGCCTCTCTAGATAGGCCTTTTGTAAGTGGATCCGACACGTTATCTCTTGACTTTATGTAGTCAATTGTGATAACACCACTAGAGAGTAGTTGTCTAACGGTATTGTATCTCCGTCGCATATGACGAGATTTTCCGTTATACATAACGCTCCCTGCCCTACCTATTGCCGCTTGACTATCACAATGTATACAAATAGGTGCCGAAGATTTGGGCCAAAGTGGAATATCTTCCAAAAAATTTCGGAGCCATTCAACTTTTTCACCGACCTTATCTAAAGCTATGAATTCAGATTCCATTGTAGAACGGGCGATGCACAAAAAATATATTTAAAATAATTTGGGAAAGAAAACGGGTCTGACCCGGGTCGCGGGTCATGGGTTATTCTGGATTGAATTTTTCGTTAATTATTTAATTAATTAATTAAATAATTAAAAGGAATGTTGTCCAAAATGATTAATCAATCAATCGATCTTTGACCAAATTCGAAGCCGAACCGAAGCCGAGCGAGCGACGACGACGACGGCGTGAGGCTTGCCTTTTTTCTTAACTCTTTAAGAGCTAGAAGAAGAGCAATTATATATATACTCATTAAAAGCCTTTTCTTTCTCCTATATGGGACAATATCCCTTTCCAAGGGAAACTCAAATATTTCATTTTCCCTTCATTTCTCATTTCCCTTCTTTAAGCTACACAAGCTTAAAATCCCAACAATCCCCCACATGAATGGGGAATGGCTATAAAATAAAGGAATGCACGGACGCGTGTGTGTTTTACATGCAAGAATTAATTGCATCTGGATAAGTAGGTTTCCCTTTGAACTTTCCGTAGTGAACTTATATCGGATATACTCGGTCAATCGGTAGATTTGATATCTTTGAACCGTCGAGCTTTGTTGTATACCTAGACAACATAAGTCACACAATCAATCCTTAACCATCTATGGTTCTCACGGTTGTGTTCGTTTCAGCCATGAACGCCGCCTGCTTTCATGAGTTCTTAGAGAATGGGCCTTTACTTTCATTTTCCTTGAAGCGACTTACACTTCACACTCACATAGGTAATTTCTAAACGTGTAATCCTATAGACACACTATCTGGTCATTTCCTGTCAGACTTAGCAAATCATTAAAAAAACCTTTAAGCTTTGTTGACTCATCAAAAAGCCTTAATGCTTTACCTCGATTTCTGAACATTGTCTTCATCACGAGAATGGGTTGAGTTATTTGACAATGTTGAACCGTCATTCATAACTTTGTTTGATCTCTTTGAACGTAGCTCGTGGGATCTCTAGTCTGCTAGGTAGAGTTACCGTCATGATGACTTGTCCTAGACCGTAACCCCATTCCCTTTGATGATCTTTCAACTGCCTTTCTAGATAGGCCTTTTGTAAGTGGATCCGACACGTTATCTCTTGACTTTATGTAGTCAATTGTGATAACACCACTAGTGAGTAGTTGTCTAACGGTATTGTGTCTTCGTCGCATATGACGAGATTTTCCGTTATACATAACGCTCCCTGCCCTGCCTATTGCCGCTTGACTATCACAATGTATACAAATAGGTGCCAAAGGTTTGGGCCAAAATG